AGGCGGAGGAGGGGGAGGAGGCCTCTTCCACCCCCGGCGTCCCCTTCGAGGAGGGGTTTACCCCTCCCCCCTACCCCCTCCCCTGGACCTGGACGGGGGGTTCCGCGAGCGGTCAGGGCGTCCGAAGCAGCCTTGGCGAGAGAGCCCAAACCATTGGTTTTATATTCGGGTTTTGGCCCCATTTTGGCCGCTTGGGGGGGGCACCGCTACAAGGAGCTCCCCTCTTCTTTGAGCCATGTCCTCCAAGATTGGCCCCAAGAAGCGCCCAGGAGGCCCCAAGAGGCCCCAAAAGATGGCCCCAAGATGTCCCCCAGAGGCCCCCAGATGGCCCCAAGATGGCCCCGAGGCCCCCAGATGGCCCCACCAGGCGCCAAGAGGCCCCAAGATGGCCCCAAGATGGCCCCCAAGATGGCCCCCAAGATGGCCCCAAGACGGCCCCAAGATGGCCCCAAGAGGCCCCCAAGAGGCCCCCAGGAGGCACCCAAGAGGACCCCAAGCGGCCCCAAGAGGCCCGCGTGTCCTGCTCCTTTGTTGGCTTCGTCGCTGGTCGCTTCCGCCAGGCACCAGCACGGTTCTGGCAAGTTCTGGTCTGGTGGCCGCACAGGCGTAGTGGCGAAACATAGAGTGCCGCACTCTGTGTGGACTAGGCCGTGGTGCTGCTTCACGTAGGCCCCGCAGCAGTCGACCCTCACGACTCTCTTTGGGCATCCTTCGGAGTGTGCGCCGCTGCTGTAGTTGCTCCCACTGCTCTTCCTTCGCTGCTGGACTTTGACCGCGTAAGCCTGATCCAGGAACTCCACGGCGTTGGTGGGCTGCTGGCCGTCGTCCAAGAAACCCTTTAAGTCGACCGGCTCGTACTCGCAGTCGAACTCCGCGTCCCTGGTTTGGTCGTCCACGCCCTCCAGCAGTTACACCATGTATTGGCCCTGGGGCGACAGCATCGCCTCCTCGAACTCGTCGCCGTTCCAGGATAGCTGCTGCTTCGCGTAGCCCATATGCACTGCGAACTCGAGTAGGGGTCGCGGGAGTAGAATTGGCGTCCGTCTTGGTACTAGGTAAATGAAGAGGGTGCCTGTTTTCTGCTTGAAGCTCGTCGGTATGATGCCGCACCACAGTGCGTGTTCGATCTTGCCAGTGTTCCGAATCGAAATGACCTCCGACACTTGTGGAACTTCAGCTCCTCGATCGGGTAGCCCTTAATAAGTTACTTCGCCAGGTAATCCTTGATCGTCTCCGAGCCGGCCATGAGCGTCGTAGCTCCACCGTCCAGGATGCCATGCCAAGCAGGAATCGCACTGGCCGTCTTGCGGTTATCCCAGCAGACCTCGTCGACCACCATTTCCATGTCCGTGGACGTGTGGGGTCGTTTCTTCGGGGCTCGGTGCAGTCCTTGGCCCAGTGATCCGCGCCGCCGCATCGTAAGCAGGTAGCCGGAATTGGACTAGGCTTTGAAGTAGGCTGGCCCTTGCCATATCTTCCTGCGGCTGATGGTCGTGCCCTCGTGTACGGGTTATGGGGCGGCGGTGGTGCTAAATCTTTTCGTCCCGGGCTGCTTCTCCGCCCAGCTCCCTTCGATCGTCCGCGGCCCTTCGTCCCCTTACTGGTAGACCGTCCACGTCCTTTTGAAGATGATGAGGCTGCCGGTGCCGAACCGGAACCTCCAGAGATCATCGCTAGGACTGGATAGAAGCCGCCCGCTAGCTTGAGATCGTTGAACCTCTTCCTCGCGTCGTGGTAGGCCGCGTAGACCTCGTCGTACTCTCCTGGGTCGAAGTCGTTGGTCGTGGCCGTATCGCGCTGGTAGTAGGCATCCTCGCAGTCGTACCACCTGTCGTCGCCGTCCTCGGTCCAGTACTGCTGCTCGTAGCCGTCGTCGAAATCTTGTTCGTCGTCTTTGCCGTAATATGCTTCTTCTTCTTCGTAGTCGTAGTCTCCATATCTTCGTCGACGTAGTGCTGCTGTCTCGCATGATTAGGCTCGTACACCTTGTTCTCTTGCTCGAACGCTGTCTCCAAAGCTTCAATAACCTTCTCCTGAGTAATGTCCTTACCAACGATAGACATGATGACTGCCTTCTGATCTGATGAATAAACTATGCGTCGTAGTATCAGCCATCCTCGAGCTTTGGGTGGCAACTCGATGTCGTGCTTCTTGAGCTTCCGATTAGCAGCTCGCAGTCGTGAAACATAGTTGAAGAGCGTCTCGCCCTTGTACCGCTTGAACTTGTAGAAGTACTCTTCGAAATCGTCTGCCGACTCCGTCCGTGTCGATCTTGAGCCGTCTCCGCTAGCTATGAGCTGCGTGGCCGGGCCGGTCTTGGCGAGATCGTCTGCTGTGAGGTCGTCCACCTCGTCCCACGCGTCTCCCGTCAGGCCGGCCTAGAGCATGAGAGCAGCCTCGCACTCCCTCTTCTCCAAAGTCAACTTCGCTATGAACATCGTCGCCCGCTTCTCGGACTCCTTCCATCTTGAACGTGTGCCGTCAAATGGTGCAACTTCGCGCCCCGGCAGAGCTGATGACTGCTGGTCGCCCGCAGCTGCTTTCGCCATTATGCTTGTCTTTGCTGCGTAAAGGTCGCTGTAGTGGCCGATGGAAACGAGCTGCCCGTACTTGCCGTCGAACTCGCTTTAATTCTCCGAACTGTCGTCGAAGCTGGCGCTATCGTCGAAGCTGGTGGATATGGAGGTGCCGTCTTCGTCGAAGCTGGCGCTATCGATCGACTTGGCAGATATGGAGGGCGCAGACGAGGCCGCAGAGTGATCGACAGGCTCCGCTACCAATCTGAACTTATCAAAGCATACGAAGTCTCTGATGACGATCTGGAAGAATAGCAAAGAGAAACACATTTGTTTTCTCACACTCGCTGCGCGGATGGCTCAAGGGCCCTG